GGTCTATGGGGCTGACGACAACACCCGTCTAGCCATGTTCAGGAGGTTCTATGGGTTGGTGGCTTCTCTAGGAGCCTTATCATTGACCCCCCGCAGGACTATCAGCTGGTGCTCCACCACGGGCAGAATTATGCCTTAGCGGAGGAAGTGCACAGCCGCAAAAGGCACATGAAAATGTTGTTAAGCCCTAAAAGCAGGAACAGAAGCTGCAGGAGAAACCAAAATAACCACTGGAGGAAAACCCCCGTGATGACAGTGACAGGCACCAGGGCAGGGGCAACTTTAGAACCAGATGCCCCTGGAACGGCCCCAAGTTGATGGTGCCCGAGGTCCTGACGCCACTGACCCATTCTGTCAGCCATATTCTGGAAGCGGCTGATCAGGAAGGCTTGGTAGTTCGGGATCCGTGAATCAACGAAATCCAGCAGGGGGACAAGTCAGGCCCCTACTGCAAGTTTCACAGGTTTCATGGCCACACAACGGAGAAATGCCACAAGCTGAAACTGGAAATCGAGAAATTGATCAGCCGGGGCTACCTGACACGGTTTGTCCGGAAACCAAAATCCGGCCAGAAGCGGGGCCATGAGCGCAGATCCCAAGGTAGAAAGACATTAGGCTGATCTCCGACGATGATTCGGCCAAGGATAACAGGCGCAATCAGCGACGCCGACATGAGGTCCGGATGATCGTCGGAGGTAACACGGGCGGTGATACAGCCTCACAAAGAAAGAAGTGGAACAACAAGCTCTACGTGGGGGAGATCACAAACCCCCCACCTGCTGCCAAGAGAGCGAGGTCGGACGTGATCTCGTTCATCGACCGTGATCCGCTAGACTTCCCTTCTCCCCACAGGGATTGCTCTGGTGGTGAAATGCGAGGTGGACGCGACCATCATTCACCGCGTCTACATTGACACCGGCTCCTCTGTCAACATTATGTATATCCAGACATTTCACGAGCTGGACCTCCACCTCAACTCTCTGAGGCCCATCCGAACTTCCCTCTTCGGGTTTACTGGTGACTCCATAGACGCCGAGGGCACTATTGAGCTTACCCTTAGATTCGGGGATGGATCCCACCATTCTAGGATCCCTGTGAAGTTCGTGGTGGTACGACTCGAGTGCGCCCACAATGTCATACTTGGAAGGCCAGCATTGGAGGACTTGGAAGCAGTAATTTCCATGCGGCACCTCTGCATGAAATTCCCGACTGAGATGGGGGTCGGCTATTGCAGGGGTAGTCAGAAAATAGCCAGATCCTGCTACATGAAGATGACAAAGTGAATGGCAGCCAGGGACATGCGCATCAATGCTATTCACAGGCCGCGCTTGAGGAGGAAACTCCCAAAGCTGAGCCTGTAGGCGCACTGGAGACTGTCATCTTGGACTAGTCTAATCCAGAAAGAGTTGTTCAGATCGAGACAAATTTAAAGCCGAGATTAAGCTAATATGCAGGTGGGAAAGCTGAGGATCAAGTGCGATTCGAGGCTCGTGGTCGGGCAAATTAACGGCTCCTATGAAGCAAATGAGGCTCAGATGAAGGAATACAGATCTGCTGCACTGCAACCCCTCGGAACCTTCCAGCTGTATGAAATCCTGCAAAAACCACGGGCTCAGAATCAGGAAGCTGATATTTTATCCAAGCTGAGCTCGGACACGCCTGAATATATCTCCAAGATACCTCAGGTGGAGGAGCTATCGACACCAAGCATACAACAGACCCTCATACACCAGGTACACACTATCCCAAGGGACTAGACAACTGACCTGAAAGAATACATTGACAACGGGCAACTGCCCCAGGGTGAGGTCGAGGCCAGACTTGTCAAGCTCCGAGCTCCGACCTACACCCTCCTTGATGGCATGTTATATAAAAGATCTTACAATGGTACGCTTCTACGCTACCTCAACGACAGCGAGGCCAAGCTAGCCATGGAGGAGCTGCATGTGGGGGTCTGCTCTGCACACCAGGGCCCCCACACTATGTCCAGAAAGCTCCTCTTTCAAGAATATTTCTGGCCCACCATGGCAAAAGACTGCGCTCGGATGTCCCGCAATTATAACGCATGCCAACAATTCCAGAATGCCCCGGGACGCCCAGCAGTAAACTACGCCCCCATCAGCACGACAATCCCATTTTCCAGATGGGGTGTAGACCTTGTGGGACAGCTTCCTCGAGGTACTGTCAACTGCAGATGGATCATAGTCGCCATTGACTATTTCACTAAATGGATAGAAGTGGAACCCCTGGCCAGCATAACTGAGGCGCAATGTAGGAGATTCGTCCACAAGAATATCCTCACTCGCTTCGGCGTGCCACAGCAGCTCATCACGGACAATGGCACTCAATTCGAGGCCAAAAGCTTCCAGGACATGCTAGCCAGTTGGGGAATCAAACACACCGCAGCCTCCGTCGCCTACCCACAGTGCAACGGACAGGTCAAAAACGCCAACCGCACCATCCTGATGGGCTTAAAAAAGAAGCTCACAAACGAAGGTGAAGGTTGGGTGGAAGAGCTCCACAACATTCTGTGGTCCTACAGAACAACTCCCCCCAGAGCAACGGGTGAGACTCCATTTTCACTCTGCTACGGCTTTGAAGCCAAAGCCCCTACGGAGGTCACAATCCCGACCATGCGGGTCCTGTCATACGACCCCGAAAAAAACGAGCAGAACATGCGAGTCGACCTCAACTTCATTGATGAAAGAAGGGAGAACGCATTCCTAAGGTCAGAGAACTACAGACGTTAGGTCAAGAGCTATTACGATACACGAGTCTGAGGTCGGGAGTTCCAAGTGGGGCACTACGTCCTCAGGCGATGAGCAGCCAACCAACCAAATGAGGGAGGCAAGATGGCCAAAAAATTCGAAGGGCCCTACATCATCACCGTTGTAGTCCGGCCCGGAACTTATAAACTAGGCACTCCAAAAGGCACAGAAGTTCCGAGGTTATGGAACGTCCACCACCTGGTGAGGTACTACCAGTGACCTAGCGCTGTAAAGGAGACAACGAGCCCTCGCCAAACGGAGACTTTGCACCATCACGAGCATTGGAAATCCGGGGTCACTGATAGCAACCTCGGCCGTACACTGTAAACTATTCACGACTGCCATTTTAAATCAATAAAGGGTTCAACACAAAACTCTCCCTGGGAGCAATTTATAAGTCTTCCAGTCCGAGCTCAACGTTGATATAAGCCGAGGCAGCTTCGTAAGACCTCGCAAACATTGGCTCTTCAGTCCATTACCGATTTGCAAGGCCACTCTGTAAGTCCTTGATGCTTCCGGGATAACAGCCCCAACGGCTCCCAAAATTTGAGGTCATTCTGTAATCCCTCGACAACGCACGCTTATCAACCGAGCTCCAATAACTAAGGCGACTTCATAAGTCCTCGCGGATACAGGCTCTCTAGCCAAAGCTCCAAAAAGCCGAGGCGACTTTGTAAGCCCTCGCAAATACAGACGCTTCAGTCTACAATCAGTTCCTGAGGCGACTTTATAAGCCCTCAAATCTCCAGGGATAATAGCCTCAACGGCTCCCAACCTCTGAGGCCACTTCGTAAGCCCTCAACCAAACAGGGACAACAGCCCCATGCGACTCCCAAAGAGAGAAGTCAAGGCATCTATATAAACCCTTCTTCCTTCCTCACAGAACAAGCTGGGACAGTAGTCCAACACGACTCCCGAATTTTGGACTGAGGCAACTTTATAAGTCCTTGCACCCCACGAAATTTCGTCTCCCTCTTTAGCATTGAAGGCGGGGGGAGATAGAGGCGCAATGCCGAAGGCTGGGCTACTTGACGGCCCTGACCTTGGTTGAGCACCACTCGCTTCCGACCCCACCGGGCTCTCGTACGAATCCCGCAGCGCCAAGCTGTAGTCCATATCTCACAGTCTGGAAGGTGGTCAGCTCCCTAAATTGAGGCGCAAACGCCGAAGGCTGGGCTACTTGACGGTCCTGACCTTGGTCGAGCACCTCTCACTTCCGACCCCGTCGAGCTCTTGTACGAATCTCGCAGTGCCGAGCTCTAGTCCATATCTCGCGGTTTGGAAGGAGGTCAGCTCCCTAAATTGATGGCGCAATGCCACAGTCTGGAATTAAGGTCCGACTGCTTGCACCTCTCGCTTCCGACCCCGCTGGGCTCTCATACGAATCCTGCATAGCCGAGCTCTACTCCATATCTCGCAGTCTGGAAGGAGGTCGTTGTCAAAATCACTGGCGCAAAGCCAAATAGCCCGGAATTAAAGTCCGACTGCAATACAACGCATCACTGCGGATTCTAGCCGAGCTCACTTAAAAGACCTCGCATCTGGATTATGACTGTCGGGCTCGCTTCTCAAGCCCCACAGACCTCTCAGGGCCTACTTCTCAGGTTCTATTTACATATTACAGCTATTTGGGATATTTTACAAAATAAAATACCTCTGCAACAGTTACTCACAACAAGTGAAGCAACTGTTGCAACTCTGCTAAAACATTCTTGTCACAGGCTGAGCAAGTGCTCTTAATAGCATGGGCTCAGATCCGTTAAAAGAGGAGGACTTCGAAAAATAAAGTCACCTCACCTGTCCAACGCACCTATTCAATATATATATCACCTCTGCAGTATGATAAAAAATAAACCAAAGACAAATTTTCAAACTATTTTCTTAAAAAGAAAAATAGTCCCAAAAAGCTTTATTAAGCACAGGGCACCAGACAAATGAGTTACTGGCCGCAAGGAAATAACACAGCCTAAAGCTCCAAAGTGACGGCCAAAAGCTCCCATGAAAGCTCCAACAGGTCGCAATCCATGCTACTGACAAACTGCTCAGTAATGGACCCCTGAAAGTCCACTACTGCACAAGCATGTAACACGCAGAAGGCAACATGGACACTTGAAAATCCATGGTTGTGAATCAAACAAAGGCAAGTTTCGTGCTACTGAAAAAACATCAAGGAATCGACAATGCCTCACCCAAGCGAGGCTGACTACGCAACCTCTGCTGGGGACAATTGTTGCAACTTAACAAACATATGCTGAGCTCAGAACAAAAGGAGGACATGCCGTCCATGGCCCATCCCCACTCAACAACACCTGTGCAGTATGTAAATAAGCATGCAAGGCGCAACAGACACAAAGATTGCAGATAAATAAACATTTCATACACAGTGTGATTATCAAAAGGTGTTTCAAGGATGTTTATAACAACGACCCATCAGACAGACATGCAAAAAGATAAAGGGGAGGGGGAATCTACTCTTTCCTCTTCCTCTTCTTTTTCTTCTCTTGTTCCACCTCTTCACCGGCCTCAGCTGGCTGCGCCTGTGTGGTCAAAGAATACCGAATTTGCTGGCCAGGGGCAATCTCCGCATGCTTCATAGGTCGGGGAAGCTTATATATCTTGTGGTTGAAACCAGGCAGAGTCTCTCGGAGCTGATCATAAATGTCCTTTTGCATCAGATACTTCCCATAGTTCAGAGTGGGCAGCAACTGTCTCCGCACAAACTCCAGTCCCTCAGGCGTGGCTAACCCGTTATCAATATGCTTACCCATGACGCTATGAAGCCAATTGACGACCGAAGAGGGAGCTGGGTCCTTCGAACAGGAAACTTGGAACTCAGAAATGGCGCCAGCTCTAGCCCTTTCAATGGCTGCAGAATGACCTGCCACATAGTCCTCGAGTTTCTTCTGTGTGGCAGCCACTTCAGCTTCAAGCTGCATCATCCGAGCTTGATCACGCCTAGAGGCGACCCGAATCCCCTCAAGCTCTTGCCGCAGCTTATCCAGTTCAGTATCCCTAGAAGCCACATCAACCTCAAGCTCAGAAACCCGGGCTTTGGCGATATCTGCCTCCTCATCCTGTCCCTTGAGCCGCTCCAGAGTCCGCCCTTGCTTGACGATTTGAGAGTGGGCTTCTTTTAGCTCAAGGGCCACCTTGTCATGCTTCGCTTCCCATTCACTCCGCTCACGGGTGACCACATTGAGCTTATCATCCAAGGTGGAACACCGAGCCTTCACAGCGTAGAGCTCACTTTCAACCTCGGTCAAGGAATTGCGAAGGCGGACTCTCTCTTTCATTGCTAGATTAGAAATATCTATCATTCTCTGCCACTCAGCCAGGCTGATTTTAGCCTTTTCAATGGCAGTTGTGGCCTTGTCCTCAGCAGCCCGGGCCCGCTCTTCTGCACGCTCGACCTGGGCCTCTACCTCACCTAGCGCCAGGACGGCCTTGTTGGCACTATCCTTAAGGGCCCCAATCTGGGATTGACATTCCCTCAGCCGGATCTCAGCATCCTGAGCCCTCCCCTGGAACTCATTCACTTGTTTCTCAGAAGCCTCCAGGGCCTGCTCCGCCGCTCGCAAGCTATCCTGAAGATCCGACTGCCTCCCGGCAACCATTCTTGCCCGAAGCTCGGCAGCCTCTGTCCTCAGGGCCATCTCATAACCCAAAACGGCAGCCTGCAACACCGGGAGAACATGACTACAAAAGTAGAAGGAAGGCAAAACAAATGCATAAAGGGAAATGAAAAAAAAACAAACCTTAAGCGCACTGGAGGTGAGCTCCTTAGTAACGCTCTGGGTATCCATCTCCCCCATGACCCCAGTATCACACGGCAGCCGTAGGTGGGCCAGCAGATCCATGGTCCCAGCGTTCTCGGAAACAAATCCCTGGTCATCCCTAAATGAGAACCGGAACCTGTGCCTTTTCCGTCTGCCGGCGGAATCATGTGGCGGCCCACTTCCCTTGGCCACTGAATGCTTTTTCCGCCTACCGGCTGGGGTAGCACCGCTGAACCCTGGAACATCCGAGCCCAGGCGGCTTCGGAGCTACTGAACAGTCTCCTTGTCTTCGTCATCATCTTCACCTTCATCTGTGGCATCTTCAATGACCACATCGGGTGAAGGAGTGGGGCTTCACCTGCCGAGGCAGAGGCAAGCACCGCGACATCCCCGCGTTGGGCCGCGTCATCATCTTGTTGGGCGTCCCCTTCACCATCGGGACCTGATTTATGCCCATCCCCAGAGTTCTGGGAGGAAGAAGAGGAACCACTGGAGGATGGTTCATCGTATTTAACGCCAGTAGTAGGTTGAGTCTTCACTTTCCTGCCTCCTTGTGCCTGGTCAAGAAGGTCGAACAGGTTGGCACTACCTGCAATACCACAATTAAACATACCAAGAGGACAAGGATTACAAGCATAAAATACCAACGTTGAGCACCAGACCAAAAGTAAAAACCTGGCGAAACCACAGAAGGTTAAGAGGATCGGAGGAAGCCAAATCAACCTTTGCAGGATCTGCCCTTTTCTTGACGGGCTCAACTCCAACCTTTGCAGGATCTACCATTCCTATAGAGCCAACAACCCCAGAAGCAGATACCTCCCCCGGGCGTTTTCTCCTCTCCAACGCAGGCTCCTCATCCTGTGAGGACTCGGGCCTGAAAGGTGACATATGGGCAAAGGCCCTCTCCTCACCTGAGGAATGTGAGCCCAACACCTCAGAAGCGGTAGGCACAGCAGTTTCCCCCGAACCCTGCTTCGTAGCCAAGGATGCCGCGATGGCTGCAGCAATGTCAGCCTCCTCCTGGGCACCGACTTGCACCTCACCTTGAGGCTCATCACCTACATCGGCCCCTTGGTCTTCAACAGGAACTTCAGCATAGAAAATGAAGCCCAGGTCCTTCAGCTTCTCCTCGGGCAAGAAGGATGTTATATCCTTGTCACCATACTTGAGATAGGTGTCCACATCGTCGGCAAACCCATCCAACACACCTGCGTCGTGCATGTTGAAGGAAAGAGCACCAGGAGCAGTAAAGGGAGACCCCCTTCCCTATCGGTACAGACGAACACAAACTTGTGCTTCCATTCGTGGTGTGACGAGGGGGTGTGGTGGAACCCATTCCTGCCAGACCGTTGGGAGATAAGGGCATAGCCCTGATTCTCCAGCGAACTGTTGAGTTCGATTTGGAACAAATGCATAAAAAGGCCAACACTAACCCCCAGGCCCAAAATCTTGTAGTGCGGGAGGAAACCGGCAATCAAATAAAACCCATTGGGGGTTACCTGGCAAGGGAGCAACCCAACCCAGTTGAGGTACTCGACAAAGAATGGGTGCAACGGGAAGCGAAGGCCATGGTCCATCGCATCGAGGTGAACCGTGAAGTAACCCGAGGGGCAGGAGGACGCCAAACTCCCCACCTCAGGCCTCATGATGTCAACGGTAGGACTGACCATACGCCTGGCTTCGGCCCATTCAGCATCGGTAAGGGCACACACATCTACAAGAGGCCCATTCTCTGCAAGGGTGCCCACCGCACCCCCACACTTCCCTTTGCCGCCTTTCCGTCTCCTGAATGAGCGAAGGGGAGGCACGTCGAATACAACGGGAACTTCTTCCACCCCACGAGGAACAACAACATTGTCTTCAGTGTTGACAAAGGCACTGTGAGAAGACATTCTTCGAAATCTGCAAAACAAAAAACATACATGCAGAAAATCAAAATTGGGGTTGAGAACCAATAACCCGACCCCCAAATAAAAATTAAACGCTCGAATCGACATCAGCATGCGATTCCGAGCCCAGAGGTACCAACCTCATCAAGAATGGGGGACTGTAAACCCCCCATTACTCAGAAAGCCAGTTTGATGGAAAACCTCTCATTCTGGGTTTTCCGGCTAAACTGCGACCGACGAAGGACGTACAAACGGCACTGAAGCCTAACCTGGTAAGGAGAAGTCGATGAGGAAAAACAGAACTTCGGTAAGCACTGGCCGGAGAAGAAGAGCTCTATGATTGCTTGAGAATTCTGGAAGCTTGAACACAAAGAAAGCGCAAAGAAGAAAGGAAAAATCTTTCGCCTTTTATAATTCCCTTCAAAAAGGAACATGAAGCTTACACGTGGCGCATTACTCTCCAACCGTCCAAAAAACTCAAAGGTTTTTTCAAAAAGGCGTGCAGAAAGGCGCAATGATGGCGCCGTACAATCACTCCAAACGCCATCCATCGCATTAAATGCTGAGAAGCGGCTATTAATTCAAAATGTTACAAAAGGAATATTTGTACACATCAGCGTTACTACACGCCACAAATTCTTTTAGTTCCACCAAGCACTAAATGCAACTGCCTCGTCCTCCTCAGAATCATACTCTTCCGCACTTAGAAAATATTCTAAAGTCCACAAGAGTGGGAGACTGGTAAGTGGGATTCTCGGGAAAGAAATCAAAAAACAAAACAAGACTACAACAAGCTCAGAGCAACACAGCCACCTCGGGATCAACACCAAACAGGTATATCTCTGAAAACAAGCTCTGCACATACACACACTGAAATTCCTTACGATTTTTTTTGAAATCAAAATCTTATCAACCCACGGCCGGGCCGTGGATGTAGAAACTAACCCATGAAGCAGGTTTGAAATGCGGAATACACGGAGCTCGAGCTCGGACCTCTCTGCAGCGGGGCGTCGCTTTCCTCTCCGGACTTCATGGCAAAGCGGAGTATACTCCTTTTCCTCCGTTAGGATTTTTTCCCATAGGGTTTTTCCTCAGTGGAGTTTTTAATGAGGTACCCCTTTGTCATGACCATGGAAGAGTAGCACCCCTGTCGGGCGAACAGGCCCAGGAAATTGATGATTTACTCTCTCACCTCAAGTTTCACTTTCGCTTCGGAGAGTGGGGGACTCATGATGGAGTATATTCCTGTATACCCCAAGGGTATCATAATCGCCAGTATAAAGCATCACGGACCCATGCTGGAGTGCATGAAAAGACTAAGTCCACAACTATACCGACCCTGACCCTGACCAGCCAGGGTCAGGAACAAACGCCAGTCAACAAAATAAGCTAAGGATCGAGAAGTCGCCCAACCCCGACCTCGGGAAAATACCAGGCTCAGGAATCGATCAGACTCGACCAGTTATGAGCCCGACCTCGAGACACCCGAGATCGGTACCAGGACTGACCATGAGAGTCAAACACATGGTCAACAAGCGCCAGGCAGACAACTACACCGAAGTCGGGGATAGAGGACAAAGGGGTGAGTCCTCTCATCACGAGCCCGAGCTCCCAGATATCGACCTCAGTAATCACCAAGGTTGAGTGAAGCATCATGGACTTAGACAAAATCCGCAAGGACTTGCCTCACGAGGAGATGTTGCCACGTCACCATCAACACCAGGGAATATTCTTGGGTACCCACGCGTGGCCGCACGAGATTTCTGGTAGCAATTCTGTTAGAAGCAAGCTCCAATCAACCAGTTATTGAAGATTCCCTCTCCATTCAACTCTACACGTGGCTGCTCGCCTGCTCCCCATCAGATTAAGCTGTTAGTTTGTTAGAGTAGCTTTACACATGTCTCTCTTCTATTAGACTAACATCTTTTGCTTGGGCTCCAAGTATTGCCTTTTATCTCTTAGTATAAATATCACCTTCCAACTTGTGGAAAGGGATGCTTGATGCTTAATCTATCGCACTCTTAAGACTCATATACCGTTACTCTGCCGGACCGGGTACCTGCATTCTCCGATCAGTTCGCTCTCCCCTTGTCTCTCATTTCAGTTGGATTCCGGCCACCCCTGGTAAGATAATCCATCATCGACGGTGGATAATTCTGTCTGACTTTGTATTGAATTATCAATGAAGTTGATGGTGTTTGCATTCCAATTCCATCAACTAGCTTTGCAATCAACTCAGAAAAGGAACTGTGTGTATCTAAAGTAATTCCAAGCACATTGAAGTTATCATATTCCATTGCTTCATTCCAATGACCACCATGATGAACAAAAATAGGCGATGTTTCCAAGATTCCTGTTAACAATACACACATCATTCAAGCTTATTTAAGTATATGAATAAGCTAGAACATTATTCATTCATTAATAGGTTTAATTTGTAAATCTTAGCAATTACAATAAAAACAGAGCATATAATTGCACACCAACTAATAATCAAACGGAAACCAAAATTCAATTCATATATTCAAACATATTGAAATCAGTGCACGAAGTCTAGAGATTGTAGTAATCATACTTTTGTGTCGGAGGAGAATTATGAATAACTGATGAAAACTGGACTTGCTCGTTGTTTAGATACAATTGTTTGTCTGAAACAATTATGTTCTGCGATCGGAATCTATGTGTGACATCAATGGATCTGCGCTCAGGTCGAGAAAACTGGAAACGAACGTCACACAGCTCGAGAAAACTGGAAACGAAGCTCCCATTTTCTGCACGCGTGTTACGATCAGAAGCTGTTGGTTTCTATTTCGGTTAAACGGTTGCCTTTATACATGAGGTTATTTTTGAAAATAAAACCAGTATCTCACTTTTGAAAACCAAATACTAATATATAATTGAAAAAACAGATACTCCCTCCGTCTCTTAAAACTTTGTCATCTTTTCTTTTTGGGACGTCCCAAAAAACTTTGTCACTTTCCCTTTTAATCAATTATTTTGTGGTTTCTGTTATTTCTCTCTCCTCTGTACAAACCACAACCACAAAATTTTTACTTTATTATTCCTCGTGTCGATCAACTTTGGTAAAGTTTTAAGGGACGGAGGTAGAATTATTTCCCTTTCTTGAATCTATGTGTGAAAATTTCCCTAAAATATTAATGAAGGCCCAAAATCACAAACCCATTTTAGTACCTGTCCGCTCCCCAAGTCCCTAACCAAAGTAAAGCCAGGCTCTCCAAGTTCGCGCAGAAACGGCAGAAGGCTAGCCATACAACGCACGACGGTAAACGCCATTGAGGGAAGCACGGAGCCGCGGACGACTTTTATCATTTGACCGCTAGACCTTTCAATCAAGGTAATAAGCTCAATATGATCTTTATTCTGCTAATAATCTCATATAGCTCAACTACAAAGCCCTAGGAGGATTGTCGCACGACTCACACATCTTTAGTTCTGTTAGTTCTGTGGCTGTTGTAATACGGAGTACAATTTAGTGCTGGCTTCATTTGGAACTCTTGATTATTATCTATTTTTTAAACTATTTTTTCAAAAGAATCAGAAAAAAGGTTGAAATCTCTTATATGTAATTTAGTAATTAAAATGCTTACTATAAATCTATATCTGTGTTTGGCTGTTTGCATTTGGGGTGTAAAAAACTCAATCTTGTTCTATACAAATATGGAACACATTATAATTTTGCTAAGTTTGCTAAGGCTTTTATGCTAAACGATTATATGTTAAACAAATTTCGGTGTGCCCATATTTTTCGGTACGGTAGATACCGACATTTTGGTATGGTATGCGATATGGCGGAAATTTCGGTATACCTTACCGAACCACCCCTAGAACTTAAAAATAAATACTATCGTATGATTGATCAAACTTAATCATTAAGTTAAAATGATATGTTCAAGTTTTGTGAATGAAGAGAGTAATAAATATAGGATCAAATCCAACAAAGCCCAACCCGTTTATACAACATAGAAAACCCCAACCCTTTTATTATAAAAAATATATGACCACCTTAACTCATTTCATTTTTGGAAATCAAAGAAATCGCTACACTCGCTCCTCTGACATCTGGCCTCATAATCTCCATCGCTGCTTCTTGCGTTCGTTATTCTCAGGCTTAGATACAGCAAATATGGCGTGGCGGTGGCGTAAAAGTGGCTCCATCACATGCATGTTGGTCTCCATTGCCGTCGAAGGGGCCTTCAAACGCCAATGGAGAAATATGACCAGTGCAATACTCGCCATTGATAACTCTGTCGTAAAGGTATGTTTTAGAGTAACATAGACTTTACTTCTCAGACTTCTTCGTCTCTTTGTTCTTCATTTTTTTCTTGTAAATCCCTTCGATTTTATTTGCTTGAATATCCCTATTTTAAACTTTAGTATTTCTACTAAATTCTTTACTAAAACCCTTATATTATCCGTGAAGTCATTTCTTTTTGAACGCCAGAGTAATTAAAAATAAATGTTTCAAAATTCCTGGTTTCTTATGGGCCTAAGATTGATTGTTTCATTCATCCAGGGTTTAAATTAATACTTATTCTTTTCATTTGAGTTTTCCACCAAAGGCTTTTCACAGAATCTAGGACCAAAATTGGTGGGGTAGTAACTAGTGAGTACTATAGAGAAAGTGTAAAAAGTAGGAAAGAACAGCTAAAAAGTTAAAAAGAGAGTGAAAGAGTAAGGACAATTATGTCTTTCCTTATGATGTTAGTAAGCAAAAATAGAAAGTGGGGAGCTAACACTGATAAACTTCATTTCATTATTCTTTCATAGTATGGCAATGTAACATTCTTATATTCTATCATAGCTTACATTAGCCTTTCGGTTGTAGAAATGTTTTCCTTGCATTGTGTGTTGTTAATAGATGCATCATGTTGTTGGCACATCTCAATATCTACTCTTTGCTATGCAAGAAAATCCTATTGTTGCTTATTGATAATTCATTCTAACTTTAACAGGTCATACATGAAGGTAATGTTTAGTAGAAACATCTTTTAGAAACATGTTTCTGAAAACAATTTGAAAATCTCCTATTTGTTAAGTTATTTATTTATGAGAACTCTAAAGCGATTCTGAAATTAGTAGCATGTTTCTGAAAACAATGGAAGCATGAAATGATTTCCAATAAAGTTTCACTTAACTTCATGCTGAGATAGACTGTTAATGTCTCTGCAGGATATCCTTTAGTATTCAGAGGTTGTTTAATCCTAAACCACCTCACACACTTTCGGGCACCATTTCAGGTTGCCAATGCCAATTATGTAAGCTTCAAAGTGCCCTTTGCTAGAACTTTTGCTTCAAAGCCATCTGAATCATCATCTGGACAAAAGCAATCAGAGGTAACACCCTTGTGTGATGTATGCAGTTGAATCAAATAATTTGTTTGTGTAATTCGAGATGCAAATAATAATGTTTAAACTTCAAAGATGTCCTGGTTTGACAAGATCAAAGTAGGAAGGTGTGTAGGAAAAGGAGGGATTATATGATTGCTATTAGTTGGGACATTGCGGTCTTATCATCTAGAAGTGATGGGTTAACCATATGAAGCGACAAATGGTTTGGCATTTTACGAAATCAGAAAATGTTAGGAATTGGGCCTAATAGACTGTTAGGAATTGGGCCTAATAGACCAAGAATAATAATAAATGTACTAGATTAGTATAAATAGAATAAGCTGGGAGAAGTCAGGTAGGCTGTTATTGACTGTTTAGTCTTTTCTGGGAAGATTGAGATTATTCTCTCTCCTTTGGGGGGCTTCGGCTAGTTGGGGGCTTCAGCCATTGATAATTGTTATTCTTCAATAAAGTTTCTTGAATAGTTTTCTTTGAATTCTGTTCAGCTTCTCTGAATTTACTGTGTACTTGGAGAAAATTCTATCATTGGTATCAGAGAACGTAGATTCTGTGGATGGTCTGGACACGGACAAAGATGGGTTTGCGGATGAATGAGTTGGAGAATAACCACAACAGATTGGATGGCTAAGGTGGATAGGAATCATCAACAAACGACGGAGATGTTGGCAGCGATTATGGCCATATTGGATGCAAGCGATCAAGATCGATCGAGAAGTAGGTCGCATCGCTCATCTGCATCGCATCGCTCATCTGCATCGCATCGCTCATCTGCATCGCATCGCTCATCTGCATCGCATCGCACTTCTCACCATCATCAGTCGCGACACTCAGCGAGTTCTGAGAACTCGGAAGGGAACGACAACCGTTCACCACCGCACCGCCACCACCATCGCCGTAGGGGACATGATCACCACCAACGAACTGGAAGAAAAACTGACTTACCAATTTTTAACGGAGAAGATGCTATTGGATGGCTGGTAAGAATGAATCGTTATTTCCGCCTGAATCATACGGAGGAATAAGACAAAATTGATGTTGTCGTGATAGCCATGGAAGACCAGGCACTGAGCTGGTTCCAATGGTGGGAAGGCCAGGCTCGTCACCAGACTTGGGAGAGTTTTACGAAGGATCTAAGCATGCTTGTCATGGCGTCGCCTAGGCATTGCCTAGTCGCCGACTAGGCGTCCTGGCGATGGAGAAGGGTCGACAGGGGAGATCGACTCGCTGGAAGAAGGCTAGTCGCCTCTGGCGTCGTCCAGGCGTGAATATGTCGTCCAGGCGCAGTCTTGGCGTCACGCCAGGGGAGATTTGAAATCTCAATAAATTCGTTTTTTGAAGCCCGGCCTAAAAGAACAATCGCCGACTCTCAACCTCGAAGCTCAATCGACGATTCCTAAAGGCGGAGCATCGCTAGTCGTTACTTTTCTGATTTGTGCCTCTGTAGCAAGGTCGTCTGTAGGCGATCTGTTGTTGATGTGTTCCTGCGTCACAAGGTTGAAGACGACGTGCGCTCTTCCCAGCCTTTTATTTTTATCGGTCATTCATCTTATCACGTTAGTCTTTATCAGACTTCTTATTCTATTATATATTGATATTAAACATTAATATTAATACTTCGTACCCACTCAGCAGTATATCCACTACAGTTTTACATAGTTTAATTTTAATATAATATATGTATATTTCGTACACACTATACAACATGCATAGATACATACTACAGTATATATTAGCAATGAATATAACTTGTATATTAATAAATTAGATATATAATAAATTAAAAAATTGGGTATATTAATATTGAAATTAATAATTTGCATATTAATCAATTAGGTATACTAATATATTAATAAATTATTAGGCAATATACAATTGCATTCTTAATATATCATATATAATATGTAATTAAACTACAAATTAAATAGAATGTTGTATTGTTATGTATAAAATATAATTATGTATATTGTGCGACAAGTCGCCTAATTGTCGCCTAGGCGGGCGCCTTGTCGCCTAGGCGATATGGCGGTCGGCTGGCGCCGCGACTCCCCTTACCGCCGTGACAAGTACGGATCTAAGCAAACGTTTTCAACCAGATTTGGTGCAGGATCCTCTGGGATCTTTGTTTAGTTTGAAGCAAAAAGGGACGGTGAAGGAGTACATAGATAAATTTGAAGTTGCTATAGCTTCGCAGGGGCATCTGACTGAGGAGGTACTTAGAGGAGTGTTCCTCAATGGGTTGAAACGAGATATAAGGGCTGAATTGAAATTATATCCTACAAGAACCCTAGCTGCTTTCATGGACACAACTTCCTTGATTGAAAACAAGAACCATGAAGCCAACATCATAAAGAATAAAGATGAGGGAAAGAAGATCCTGAAAATAAATTCAGCAGGTGGACAGAGCTATCATAAATGGGGAGATGGTAGTAGAAATAGTTATAATCTGACATCGTCAAATCAATTGATGAAGAACTCAGATGATAACAAGAAGCTGGAAGAAGGATCAAGTTCTGTCTCTAAGAATACAAGCCCCAGATTATCACAGAATGAGCTGCAAGAAAGAAGTAAGAAAGGGTTATGTTTTAAATGTGGTGAAAACTGGAATCGGGGTCACATTTGTAGAATGAAAAATTTTAAAATAATGATGGTAGAACAATCTGAAGGGGAGGAGGAGGAATCTGATACTGACTTTAGTAAAGAACAAAAAGAAGAAGGAATTCTTATGGAAGCCAAGACTATGCAATTATCTGTGTTGAACAAAGAAGGAACGCCACTCATTAGAACATTTAAAGTCCTGGGAAATCTGAAATGGCTGATTGAGGAAAAGAAGGTGCATATTTTGATTGATTGTGGAGCTACTCACAATTCTATTTCACAGAAGATTGTTGAG